AAAAGCAATCTGATGCAGAAATCCTCCATTAGTCTGTACTAAGTACCAATAATTAATGTAATTGTTAATAGATTTTACAGACAGTAAATTTCTAATCAAAAGACAGACGATGGACAAAGAGGAGCGTGGAGACGAAAATAAAGTTTATGAAGTTAGCTCAACTTAAATATTGTTTTAAATCAAACAAAACAGACATTTGAGTTGAAGTTACACAAAATATTCAGTTGATATAATCACCAGATCATATCAAGTTTCTACATGTAGGTTTAGATTTTTAAAAGTTGGTTTTTCCAACTAATGTTTATTTTAAATGACTTTATTTCCATCCTAACAGATCGTCTCTCAGCGGCTCCGTCGCTCGTATCCTGTTAATATTTCTCCCTTTAAACAAATGACATGCAAACAGCTTTACGGTCGTGACGCCACAAACAAAACAGGTTTCACCTCCACAAACCCAAACAGTATGCAAACCATCCACGGCGCCCACAGGCCCACTGGCTGCTGTGCTGTGGTCTAATGTATTCTAATGTGTTCTAATGTGTTTTAATGTGTTTTAATGTGTTGTGTGCGTCAAACCTGAAACTGTGTGAAAGTGCGTCTGCCGTGTGTCTGAAGACGTCTGAACCTGCTGCTGGATGAACTGGTGACGCAGGAAATTACAGAATAACAGCAGCGATGAAAGAGGAGGGCGGGAAAGAAAGAAAGAAAGAAAGAAAGAAAGAAAGAAAGAAAGAAAGAAAGAAAGAAAGAAAGAAAGAAAGAAAGAAAGAAAGAAAACGAAGGGCGGGAGGAAGAGAGAAAGAAAAGATGGAAAAAGAAATGAAGGAAAGAAGGAAGGACAGGAAGAAAGAAAAGAACGAAGGAAAAGAACCGAAGGAAGGGAAAGAAGGAAAGGGAGGAAGCGAGGAACGAAGGAAAAAAGAAAGAAAGAAGGAAATAAGAGACGAAAAGAAAGAACGTGAGCAGAGCCGAGGTTGCACTAAGATAAAACTACGAGCTGCTCAAACTGGGACACCAACAAACTAAAGCAAAATTGAAAAAAAAAAACAAAGAAAGAAACTCTAACTTCCTTTTAAATGTTTGATGAAGGATAAATACAGGATGAGACAAAATAATAAAGTTATGATAGAAAGAAAAGTGTCGTCATTAGTCGAGTTCTGTCCCATAACATCATGTGATGCAACACGAGTAAGAAGATCCACTAAAATGTGAGTTTTATGAGTAACTTTGCATCAATATCCTGCAAATTTAAAACATCTTTAATGTAAAATGAGCGCCTGTGAAATGAACGGATTTAAAGTCACATTTGTTTGATTATTATTTTAGATCATCTCAAGTTTTTACGTGTAATTTGACATAAAAATATCTGTAATGCTTTAAAATGAACAGATTAACTTTTGGAAACAACATTTATGATTATAAATGAAATAACAAACTGTTCATTTTAGATTATCAGGAGCTTTTACACAGAACTTCTCACCAACATGTTATATTTTGGTCATTTTATTGATGTTTTTCTGTAAATAAAAAGCATAAATGCTGTGAAACTACTTTTTTTCTTACAGTTTACAGTCATTTGTCTGTGAGGTAATAATTCTATCAGCCAACAGAGAAACTGAGAGCAGACGCCTCGTCTCAAAACAAAAGTCTGAAAGAGGAGCTGAAACCTTTTCAGAGTTTCTCACTTCCTATTAAAAACCTATTTGGTAACTTTCAAGGACTTCACGTTGACATTATTACAGTTTTTTCAGGTTAAAATATAAATAATATTGTTTGTTTTGTGGCTGTGATATTAAGTGTAGCTACACAAAACAGGGAAAGTCTTTAAAGTTTAAAACAGTTTTATTCCCTGAAAACAGAAAAAGTTCGACACGTTCGCTTCCTGCAGAAAACTCCTGAAGGTTCTCCATCTAAAACAAACTGCAATAATACTTTAAATGAGCTTTTCCCACAATTCAACAGAGTCTTTTCTGCTGCCGGCACCTTAATTAATGAAAAAACGCAGCGAGTGGCAGATTAATCAGCCGTGAAAAGAGTTTAGTTTCGGCGCAAAAACGCTGCAGCGGGTCTGTAAAACACAACACCTGTGCCCAGTTCAACCAGCACTCATATAAAGTATACATGAACGCACTGGGATCTTATTCTTAGATAAATATATAATGTGTTTTACTGCAGAGCTTCAGATTTCATAAGTGGAATTTAGGAGCCGACGATAGGAAACGTACTAAATGTGCTCGTTTATGGGGAAATATACGAAGCGGCGAGTGAAGGTGGAGCTACACGAGCTGAGAAGTGACTCCATGATCAGACGTCAGCTTCTCAAACCTCCAAACTACAACATATTAACGTCGGGTGAGCGTTTATCAGCTCAGGAAGTCTCACCGTAGTAACGCTGAGACGGTGAATGATAACTCAAGTCTTCTTCTGACTAAAATTTAGCTGCAAAAACGCACCAAATCATTTGTAAATTGTCAAAATGCGACTCAACCGTGTCTGATTTGCTTATAGCACAACATATGGATGCTTCAAAAGATATTTGTGGAAGTTTAGCTTCACATATCAAACATGTCTGAAGCTTCTCCTGCATTAACAAACATAATGTGCCAAAAAAAAAAAGAACTCAAAATGTAATTGAGAATGCAGCGTAGGTGGCCAGAAAAGCAAGTTCTCAAATGCAAATGCTCAAAATTTAAATGAGAATGTAGTTTAGTTGTACAGGAATGTAGTAACTGGGGTTGGTTTTTGCTCCGTTTTGGGTCTCCACCACCTCCTGATTATGTGAAAAGGACAAACTGTAAATCAGTCCATGAAACAAGAGCGATGTGTTGATTTTAAACACATTTTATGTCAAAAAATTCCTCAAAATGTAATTGAGAATGCTGGTTAGTTGTACAGGAATGTCATTTTAGACGTTGGTTTTTGCTCTGTTTTGGGTCTCCACCATCTGATTGGCTGGTTGAAAAGGAGCGACCGTAAACTAATACAATTAACAGCAATAATATGTTGATTTTAAATGTATAGTCCAGCAGAAAATACTAGTTTAGTTGCGTAGAAATGTTATTTCTGGAGTAGGTTTTTGCTCTGTTTTGGGTCTCCACCACTTCCAGAATATTTGAAAAAGGACAAACTGTAAATCAATTCAACAAACAGGAATGATATGTGGATTTTAAACATATTTGTTGCAGAAAACACCTCAAAATGCAACTGAGAAGGCACTTTAACTCTACAGAAATGTCATTCTAGGGGTTGGTTTTTGCTCTGTTTTGGGTCTCCACCACCTCCTGAACATCTGAAAAGGAGCGACCGTAAACTAATACAATAAACAACAATAATATGTTGATTTTAACAATATTTCTGGTAGAAAATACCTCAAAATGTAACTGAAAATGCAGTTTAGCTCTACAGAAATGTAACTTTAGGGGTTGTTTTTGCTCCGTTTTTGGTCTCCACCACCTCCTGAGTCAAATATCCGACTTATTAACCGCTAAATGTCCCATTTTCATCGCTAACTTGACTCTAACTGTCTCCTGAGCAACAAACGAGGCCTCTGTTAATACAATACAGCAGATTAATGGAGCCCGCAGGATAAATTTAACTTGTTTTCTGAGGACGTGACCGGGTAAAGTCTGAGAGGAAACCGAGCGCGGAGCTTCACTGTTGACCTTGGGAAAAACAGGTTTCTGAACATGATTAACGGCGGCGGCAGAGAGCGTTTGTGTGGATGTGTGAGCGTTACATGCAGCCCACTGAGCACTCACATTAATTGGGTACAGCGTGGACCATTAGCTCCCCCCCACGCTGCATCACTCGGCAGCCAGGTGGCATCCTGCTGCCGCCGCCGCCGCCGCTGCACTCAAACTACTCATGAATATTTAACCAGCAAGATGTGGGAAAATCAGGGGCCAGGCCTGGAACATCATATCATGTTTTTATATCGGAGCTCATCGAAACCAAGAGCGAACAGATGAAAGAAAAGCTGAAAAGGGAGGCAAGCAGGTTAAAATACTAGGATTAAGGAGAAGAGATGAAGCCGTTTACTGTCCTGGTGAGAGTTTGGAGGGAAAAATGTGGACAAATACGTCACCGCTGGATCAAAAACACGTCTCATGTTGGAGCTACAGGTTGATAGAATCCATTCAAACAGCTGATTTAAGCTGAACTGTAACAGACAACTGGAAATTAACATCATAAAATCAACTAACAGATCAAAGTGTTGAGTTGAAGCGCACATAACATAATAAATTCTGCAAATTTATCCAACTAATGGGAGTGCTGAACCCCGAAACTTGGGCTTAAAAGTTTAAGTTACCTTTTTGCTTTCTTGTTTTTTTTAGAAAATTGCCAAAACTACACAATTTATCATCGAACAAAACTGTAAAAACTGAAGAATTGTTGGATTTTTAACCTCCCGACTGTCTCTGAAGCAACCGTGACCAAACCTAAGCTCAGAATCGTAACGTTTCATCACCAGAAATGAAGCATTTGCATCAGATTCTGCAGAAAAACTAAAAATACTCAACCGCAACCCACAGTCACGTCACAAACATTCAGGGAGGTGTTGAGGCAGAGCGGAGAGGAGACGAATGTGGGAACTAATCAGAATTATCAGGAGGAAAATCAAACCGTCTGGATCAGTAAATAGATGCAGCACGGCTCTGAAAGCACGAACAAAGGAGCCAGTTGTTGGAGACACATCCAGCTGATGGTGGAACATCTTTTACGTTGCACATGCTAATTCCAGGGTTTTTGAATTTTTGTAAACTAAGAAATTTGACTTTCATTTTCTAAAATAAATACATGATTAATGATATTCTAACTGTGTCATTCTGTCCAGAGGATTCAGCTACACTTTGGTTAGATTAACCTGATTGAATACTACAGATTAATGAGTCAAGGACCTTTATTCGTGATTTTAAATATCTAATGTGGCAGTAAATACCTCAAAACCAGACTAAAAATTAAGCTTAGTTGCATAGAAATGTCATTTCTGGAGTAGGTTTTTGTTCTGTTTTGGGTCTCCACCACCTCCTGAGTATTTGAAAAAGGAGAAACTGTAAATCAATAGAAGAAACAGGAATGATGTGTTGATTTTAAACATATTTGCTGTACAAAATACCTCAAAATGTAACTGAGAAGGCACTTTAACTGCACAGAAATGTCATTTTAGGGGTTGGTTTTTGCTCCGTTTTGGGTCTCCACCACCTCCTGAATATCTGAAAAGGAGCAACTGTAAACTAATACAATAAACAACAATAATATGGTGATTTTAAACATATTTGTGATAGAAAATACCGCAGAATGTAACTTTAGGGGTTGGTTTTTGCTCTGTTTTTGGTCTCCACCACCTCCTGAGCAAAACATTCGACTTATTAACCGCTAAATGTTCCATTTTCTTCGCTATACTTTATTTGCACCTTTTCATTTTTAACGTGTTAAATATCGATGTATGTAATGCAATAAATCATTTTTAAAAAAGGAAAAACTAAAGTAGGATATTTTACAAAAACCAGGTGAAACCCTGGACTCAACATTTACAACATTTCTGTGATAAATATTTGAATATTTACATTTTTACAACCTCAACCAGTGAAAATGTGGCGATGTGAGGATTAAGGTGTTGGTTAGATTCACCTGATTAAATTAAACACTGAGCTTAAGACTCTGTGGTTTTGTTATTTGCAGATGATGAACAACAACTTAATGAGATTAAGCATTTAGATTTATGAAGCCCTGAAACCGCAGCCGCATAAACTAAAAGACGAGCCGCAAAACACGGATGCTGCAAAGTTCAGCTCAACAAATTTATTCTCTTCTTCACAACCGTCAGAAAGCAACTGACCTGAGCCCGAGGGGTCACCATCATCCTCCTCCTCATCCTCAGGTCGCCCAAACAAGCCTCCCGGCCGCAAAACTCACTTCCCCCTGCAGCCAGCCGCACACGTGCACGCTCCCTTCGTGCACGCTCCCTCCGTGCACGCTCACCCTGCCTGCAGCGCTGCAGTCCGGCGCTCTGAGAAGCCGACAGCCGACTGCAGCGGCTGCAACACCCAGAGGAGGAGAAACATCCAGCCGGGCGGGAGAGGCCACGCCATTGGTCAGAGGGACACTCAGGAGCCGGAGCTCAGCCAATCAGAGCGGCTGAGCACTTCCTCTCTAAAGCACCTGTGTGTGTTTTAAAGGGGCAGCTGTTCACGTGCACGAAGAAAACACAACCACGAGTTGGTTCTCTGGCATTTTGAGGAACTTTTACAGCCAGTAGCTGCAGCGTTTAGTTTGTTCACCTCCGGAGTCCAACCCGTGTCTGGACGGTTTGTTCTGCTGTTTTAACCCACTGTGGGTCATTTATCGCTGCAGCGTGAAGTCCTGCAGCTCTGTGGAAACACAACAACCATGAAGGAGGAGAAGAACTCAGAAATCACTAAAAAGGAAAAACTAACGTCGGATTTTTTTGATGGTTTCAACGTGTCAAACACTCAGAGGAGTCAGCAACACTGCAAACAGCTGGAGTCTCTGCACACTGCAAATATTCACTATTTACATGTTGATTAGTTTCTGTCCTCGTCTGCCTGCACAGATTTTCTGACATTTTTCCCACCTGACTGCTGCTCACAGCTGAGTCAACAATGACTTCCTGGCTGCACAGAGAAACACAGAATTTTTCATTTTTCACAGAATCTGGTTCAAATAAACGGCTGATTTTTGGCAAATTTTTAAACGAGACATAAAATAATGACAATTTGCTGATTTAATTAAATTTTTACAGTAAAAATATTGTAATTTTACAGTCTAACGTTGTAAAAGAAGGGATTGCAAGTTAAAAATATATAAATTAAAAACATTTTTTTGGTTATTTCACTGAATATTATAAATATAAATGACAAACCATGACATACATAGGATTTTTTTAATGATAATATCTAGTTAAAAAATGTTTTTTACTAGATATTATAATAATTTATATCTATAATATTCAATAAAATTACAGAAAACATGTTTTAAATTCATATTTTATAAATAAAATAAACAAATAAATATTAGTATTGTGACATCTGTTAAATAATAAACTTAAAAACAGTTTTTTTTTCAATTACAGTTTAAAACTATTTAAAATATTTTTTATTAAATTAATCATGAAGTGTTGTGATAACTAAACAATCGGTTTGAGTAACTTATTTTAAAGAAATAAAGTCTAAATGTTCTGATTGCAGCGTCTTCAATGTGAATATTTTCAGGTTTCTTTCCTTTTCTGTGACAGTAAACTGAACGTCTTTGAGTCGAGGACAAAATGAGACATTTTACACCAAACAAGCGACCTATTAATTAAGAAAATAAACGACAGATTCCTCAATAATGACAATAACCGAGCTACGAGCTCATCGAGGCTCCTCTGAAGGCCGAGAAGCAACGCCACAAGACTGACACACACCTGCTCAGGTGGAACAAGTCTGTGAATGAATGAATGAATGAATGTTGGTGGAAACAGGCTGAACCAGTGCGAGTGAAGCCGGAGGCCCATCGGCTCTCCGCCCGAGTCCACGGCCGACGTGACTCATTGTTGACATTCCAGAGGAGGGCCGAAGCATTCAGACTCCCACACAAGACTTAGCTCTGCCAGGAACATCCAGAAAGCAGCGATCTTGAAGCTACGCGACGCAAAATCACAGCTAAAATACAGCTTTTGTCTATGGAGTCTGGTTTGTGTCATAGCGGGAAAAAAGCAGCCCTCAAAAGTGTAAATCATTCCTTAAAATTCAACTTTTTTGCAGTTAAATTTACACTTTTCTCTATGGAGTCTGGTATGTGTCGTACATTTTCTGTGATAATGATTAATAATGGATTAACATGCATTGAGGCAGTGCAGTCGACTTCCAGCTCCTCGGTGTGAGATGCTGGGAGGAGGTTCTACATTATTTCATCAACATCCTGATATGAGCTCAGTAACGCCGACACACGTTCTCCCAGAGGAGCCTGAAGAGCTGAAAACTAACAGCACCGTGTGAAATACCTTCATATCTGTGAAAACACTGGAGCGTCTGAGAACGTCAGAGCTGCAGAACTCAACACATCAACGTTTACGGAGGAACGACCGGATAGAAGATAAAAAAAAAACACAAAAACACAATGAAAATCCAGCAACAACAAAAGAAAAAAGTGAATACAACACAAAATATCTGCAAAAGACATCAAATATATTATTAGAAGCATTTTTTTTTCTTTTTTCCAGATTTGAAAACAATAAAAAATAGAATTTTATTGTCACACTTTGAAAAAGAACAATTTATTCGTTTTTAAATATTTGCAGTTTTGGCCTGTTTATTTTTATTTATTACTATTTTTTGTGATTTTACTCGTTTTATTTAAATGAGCAAAACCGTTTAAAATGTTTTTTCAGTCCTTAATAAACATACTTTGCTTTTAAATAAAGACAAATAATAAAAAATAAATCATTTATTGATGATTTAAATACAGTTAAAATTACAGAATTTTAGGGTCAAACATCGTAAAAGATAAATTATGATTATTAACAAATATTTATAATTATGTGAACATTTTGATGTGTGGTATTATTTACAGTTTTAAAACGGTTAAATCGTTGCTTTTTCTGTTATTTAAAAAACTTTTAAAAAATCTGTAAGTCAACAGTATTTTTTTTTTTAACTAAACAATTAAAAAAAAAGTAAAGCATACATAATAAAAATATGAATATCCAGCAGCACAAAAAATATTCTAAAGATTACAGAACACTGTAAAAATAATAATAATAATAATAATAATAATAATAATAATAGAAAATGGAAACACATATCTGTATATTTTTCACCAATAAGTCAAAAAAGTCATTTTACAGTCAAAAGTTGTAAAAGTTTGAAACGTCATTTAATTTTTGTTTTAATTTTTTCTTACATTTACCATCTAATATGATTGTTTCTCATCATCTTTAACTTAATAAAACTGGGAAAATCTGTAAAATACCAATAAGCTGTTCAAGAAATTACAGCTAAAAGCAGATTTTTTTTTACGGTGTGACGTGAAGTGAAGTCCATGAATTGATCCTCTGCAGACGGTGAGAGCAGAAGCACCAGCTGATCAATAGATCAATAGCGTTAATCAGCCGCCGTTTGCTCCACAAACACCATCAGTCTGAACCTCAACGATCGTTTCTGTCCAACTAAAGAGCCTCCAGCTCGTAAAAACAACACTTTGTCCACGTCGGAGGATGAAAACACTCGACTGGTTTCATTTCTGGGCCTCGGAGCCTCAAAGTGACTTTAATCCAGAATAAACTTGTTTTCATCCTTAAAACACGAGAAGAGTCACACAGCCTCCTACAGATGAGTCTATGAGGGCAGAAAATCCAAAATAAAACCTGGACCGTGGCAGGACAGCGACATCACACTCCATTAACTCTGAGGACAACGTGACGGTGCCACCTGGAGGCCACTCTGACAACTGCACCGTTCACACACAGTTAAGTTTGGTGATGATTTAATGAGAATATTCTGATGTAAAAAAAAGAGATTAAAAAGAACACATCATCACGACTGCTTTGGTTGTTGTCAATATTTCAGTCATTAGGTGAAAATGAAAAGCTCAGATTTTATGTTTTTTTACTGCGATAATATTTAAATTTGACTTTCTTTGTTTCAGGATTTGTTCTGTGACTGATGGACGTTGTTTTATTGTTATTTATTCTATTTATTCTCCTTTTTATGAGTCTGTCCACCTTCATTTTGTTGTACATGTAATGTCATATAATGACAATAAAGTGCTTTGAATCTTCAGTGTTTTTCTTTTCGTTCAGCTTTAAAATATGACAGCGTTTCATCGTCGTCGTTTCTTTTATCAACCGACCGTCACTTGTTCCCTCGACTGATCGATCGGCCGTTTAAACTAAAACGTGGGCGTCAGACTCCAACAGAGGTCCACAAAAATAAACTGGGACTAAGTCGAGGGCCAAGACTCGATATTTATTGAGAAACTGACTAAAGCTGTGCGTGTTTTCTTTTACTTCAGATACAGAACGATACATTTTTTCATACAGAAACAAAGGTTTTGCTTCAACATTAAATCTGCATTAAGTCTGTCCTTTACATTCATGGACACATCATCTGCTCCTGTTTCCATCCTCTGATTGGCCATTTTTCATGAGGGGGGCTTATGAGTGGGTGATCGCTAGCGTGAGGTTGCTGATGAGAGTCGCTAACGCGCCGACGTACAAGCAGAGCATTCTGGGATGTGTAGTATTAATGATACACCAGGTCTAATAGACATTTGATATCATCCATCCATCATCTCTACACCTTAATCCTCACTAGGGTCATGGGGGGCTGGAGTCTATCCCAGCTGACTCAGGGTGAAGGCAGGTTCACCTGGACAGGTAACCAGTCTATCACAGGGCCACACTTAGAGACAGACAACCAAGCACACTCACATTCACACCTACGGACAATTTACAATCACCAATTAACCTCAACATGTTTCTGGACTGTGGGAGGAAGCCGGAGAACCCGGAGAGAACCCACGCTGCACGGGGAGAACATGGAGACTCCATGCTCCTCACCGGGACGTGAACTGGCGACCTTCTAGCTGAGAGGCAACATTGCTACCCACCGATCCACCTTGGATTTGATATTATCTTGTGGGTCAAATATAATAACACTGTGGGCCAAATCGGGCCAGTCAGGAAGTAGTTCCACCACAGACCGTGTTTCACACAACAACATGCTAGCTGCTTTCAGGCCTGATGCTAAGCTACGCTAAAACAGGACAAAACGGTCGATAATGAAAACAAAAAATTCAGTTTAACAGCAAATATTCACTCTGCAGAATTCTCAACATAACGATCAGATGCAGAGACGTCCTGCGGATCAATTCATTGATCAGTCGTTCAGG